TTTTATTGGATAATAATGGAGTGGTTACACAATCCAAATTTTATAATGATGTGGCCAGACCAAACTGGTCTATGCGCGGTATGCACGTGCTGGAAGTAAGTTCTGGAGATGGTTACCTGCTTACCGGTTACCTGTCTGAAGGTGGTTTTCAGCTTACAATTCCTAAACTTATTAAAGTTATGCGTTTAGACCAGAGTGGTAATGTACTTTGGAGCCAGGTATATGATACTCCTGACGACCGGAATTCTGACTTTGATATGGGAGCTTTTGCCCTGGAAACCGATGATGGCTTTTATGTGACCGGTTCCGTAAATATGGACAAGGGAGGCAATACAAATCAAGGTGTGCTCTCTATGATGATTGACCACGGTGGTAACCTGATGTGGGATAATAATTTTGCTATTGAACCGGGTTCTGATATTGAAACTCAGGCAGACCTGGGTACCAGTGCCCTGTTTGATGAAAGTGAGAACGTTATTGTAGTATCAGCCAACTCTACGTTGGGTAACAATAACTTTTACATCACTAAAATAGATCCGTCTTCCGGCTCTATTGTAGATCAGCGCGCCTATGACTGTTCAGAGGAAGCTACACCATCTTATTACATCGGTCAGAATGAAGATGGTAATTATATAGTAGCCGGAATGATAGAGTATACACCTACGCGCTTTGATTGTGCCGGTGATCCTGAAGTATACAGTACGGTACCCTACATCGTGGAGGTTACACAAGACCTGAACACGGTTATTGCTTCCCAAAAATTTCTGACTCATGCTCCTACATTCAGTGGAGATGATGGTAGTGTGTACGCCAGCCACTTTGGCGGACCTATGAACCTGCACCGCCCGGTAATTGCCACGCCTGAAATGGCGTATACTCATCCTTTTGAGAATAAAACGGTGATATTGGGTTATCGTGAAGACGGTCCGCAGGGTAAGTACGACTTGCAGTTTATCAGTAACTCCTCACCATCCTATGATTGGTGCCTTACTGATGAGTTCGGTGTGGATCCGTATAATCCGCAGGTACTGGAGGCATCTGCTGTTTCAGAAGATCCTCAGGATGTGGATGTGGATAAAGGTAAGGATGCTATAGAGCAGGAAGTAGCTACTTTGGAATGCAGTAATTCCTTTCCTTCCGGTTCGGGATCCTTCCCAATTGTGCAGACCTCTAATTCCGGAAGTAGTGTTTTAGGACAAGCCATTGGTGAACAAGGTCTTGTGGTACATAACGGCTATAGCTATGTAGCAGGCCAGTTTAACAGTAGTATGAATAATCCGGGTCTGAGCTCTTCATCCACTAATAACCGTCCATGGCTGGCTAAATATGATCCGAACGGAAATCTGGTTTGGGGTAAAAAAGGAGATGGAACCACGGGTTACAATAATTATGCATCAAGCGTGGAAGTGGATGACCAGGGAGATGTGTACCTGGGTGGTTTTTTCACCACCGGAACCCTTAAGTTTGATGGAGATCCCTATCCGGCTATGACCTCTGGAGAAACCGTGGAAAACGGAGGCTGGAGCTCTTATATCATTAAGTATGATGGCGCAGGTAATTTTCAGTGGAGGGCCATGATGTTGAAAGATGTAAATGTTTTTGGAGCTGCTATTTTGTTGGGTGATATTGAAATGGGTGATGATGGATATTTATATGTTACCGGCCTTACCCTCCATGATGTGGATTTTGTCAATAACAATTCTCCTGATCCGTTTAACGGGGGAAGTACATATACTACCACTCCGGCACATATCGGTCATGCCTATATTGCTAAATATGACCCGGCCAATGGCCAACTGGTTTACTTTGAGTCTGAGCCTTCCACAATCTCCGGTACTATGGCCAATTTCTTTCCCCGTGCTATAGAAGTGGCACCTTCCGCCACTAATATTTACCTGGGGGGCGAAAACCTTGCCGGTTCCAGTTCCAACTTTGAACCTTACATAGTTAAAGCCAATTCTTCTGGAATAGCTTTGTCTTCTGTACAGGGTACTTCCAGTGATGATGCTTTGATATTGACAATGGAGCTGGATGGAAGCTCACTTTATGTAGGAGGTACGGCTATTGATGATATCACTTTTCCCAGTGGTTGTGTCAGCAGCGGGCTTTCGAATGATGGTTGGTTTGCTAAATTCAACACTTCATTGGGCTGTGTAAGTTCTTCTCCGCCCATTAAGCTATTGTCAGACAACTCCGGAGGGTACCTTAGTGGTTCTGTAACTGGTATAAGCGTTAGCAATAACGATGTATATGTTTATGGTAGTGCCGGTGGTACCTCCATCAGTCTGTCCGGTGGCGGTTCACTTTCCACTATAGGAAGCAAGGATCTGGTAGTAGCTAAGTACAACAGTAGCTTATCTTCTGCTGCCTGGGAAACCAATTTTGGAGGAGCATCAACTACGGCCAATTCCAGAGCTATTGTAGAGGATGATATAAATTGCGGATCTTTTATTTCCGGATCTTTCTCAGGTGGTTCTCTTGACCTGGGCGTGTCCAGTGGGATTATTTCTGCACCTACCGGAAATTCAGATCACTTTATTGCCCGGGTAGATGATGCCGGAGCTACTTATAAAACCAATCCGGGTACCAGCTCCACTACCACGGCCGGAAGTTTGGAAGCGGGAGATTTTACTATTTACCCGAATCCGGCCGGAAGTGTATTTTATGTAGATGGACTAAGTGCTGGTGAGGAAGTAAGCCTATGGGACAGCAGTGGTAACCTGATCCGTCAATATACAGCAACTTCGGCCCGGCTTGAAATAGAACGTGGAGAACTTGCCACGGGCCTTTACCTGATTAGGGTGAACGGTGAATTTCAGCAAAATGCCAAGCGTATTATGCTTCGGTAAATACAAATAATCTGATAACTATAACCCGCAAAGCTCAGGCTTTGCGGGTTTTTTGTTTTGTACGGAATGGCGCGAAACACATCTTTTTTTGAATAGGATACTTAAGCTGCTGAAATGCCGGAAACTCCACCGGTTTTTACCCAAACTGCTACTTTAAACGGATGCCATCATCCCCAATGCTTATCCGCTTTTCTTTATATAATCCACCAATGGCTTTTTTAAAGGTTTTTTTGCTCATCTCGAGCCTGCGGGTGATCTCCACAGGATCACTTTTATCGTGCAGGGGTAAAAAACCATTGTTTTTGGCCAGGGAGCGAAGGATTTTTTGAGCATTGGGTTCAACGCTGCCATAACCTTGTTTTTCCAGGCTCAGGTCTGTTTTTCCGTCTTCGCGTACCTTCTTCACAAAACCTCTTAAACGGTCTCCGGGTGCAATGCGCTTGAATATCTCATTGGCGTAGATCAGTCCCAGGTATTTATCGTCAACAATAGCGTTAAAGCCCAGGTCTGTTTCACGAATGATCAGCATATCCACTTCCTGATCGGTTTTCAGGTCAATCTCTTCTTTCTCCACATAATCTTCCACACGGGAAGAAGCCACCAGGCGTCCGCTCATTTCATCCAGGTACATATATACCACGTAAGAGTTACCCTCCTGCATACGCTTTTCCTGCTCGGCAAAGGGTACAAAAAGGTCTTTTTCCAATCCCCAGTCCAAAAAGGCACCATGTGAAGAAGTGTGCCGTACCAGCAGGTAGGCGTATTTACCTTCGGTTACTTTAGGAGTCAGGGTAGTGGCCACAGGTCTTTCCTCACCATCCAGGTATACAAAAACCTTCATTTCCTGCCCCACTTCAAAATTTTCAGGAACATATTTATTGGGGAGCAGCACCTCATTCTCATTCGCATCCTGCAGGTAAATCCCGTGATCGGTTTGGCGGGTTATAACCAGGGTATTGTAGTTTCCTATTTCCAAAGTTTAAGTTTTGTCATTTAAAAAAGTGGTCTAAGGTAAATTTTAGAATATAACCCAGGAGAAGGGTGGTGGTGAAATTTACCATGGTGCCGGCTAAAAAGAAACCGGCATTATCATCAATATCTTTTCTGCGGGCCAGACTTTTAGCTGCAAATATAAGAGTGAGCCCGGTTAACTCACCAGCCAGTACAAAGGTTAGGATGATCAGGTTTTCGCATTTTCCTATAATGCGTCCTTCCTTTATCAGTTTATCATCTATACCATCTATTTTTCCATCACCATCTGCGTCAACTGATTTTTGACCCTTCAGTATAATACGGCTGAAAACCACGTCTGTAATGACAAAGGTGAGCAGGTACCCGGAAATAATAACCACTGCTTTAAACAAGTAATCAGCGCTTTCCATCCAGGAGATCAGTAATTCCATTTAATAGCAGTATTAAGTTTTTTTCTGATTCTTTAACCAGTTTAAATTTGGATTGCCGGATAAGTTTGGAAATATATTGTTGTGATACTCCGTGCTGGCTGGCAATTTCCTGTTGGTTTTTATGATCAGGGTATTGATGGTAAATATCCCACTCTAAATTACTCCAATCATTTTTTATGGAAAGTATAAGGTTTAAAAGGGCATTGATCGATAGAGAGATCAAAGGGTTTTGTAAGTCTCCCAGAAAGTAGGCACCGCTTTCTTTAAGCTCTTGTAGTTTTTGTTGGCTCTTCCAGAGAGCCGGGCCTTCCAGCTCTAAAAAGCTCTTCTTATCCAGGCCGTATGATACTTCATCTTCAATAAGTGTAAGCCTGGCTTTAAGCGGTTTAATGGCTTCCTGTATTTTAAGTATAAGGTGTAAGGCGGAGAGCGGATCTTTTACAACAGCACCAAAACTATCACCTGAATACACCACCAGAGGAATGGATAAATGAGGCTTAAAATGAGAATTTAAGCCTTCTATAGCTTTGTGAAACTGCTCCCATTGCTGCGGGTTAAATTGTTTTCGGGATTGGATGATGTCTCCAATTAGCACGATCGGCATAGTATTCATACAACAAATATAGTTGTAATTAGGCAAAACAACTGTATAAGTTGTAAAAAGAGTATACTACTCCAAGAGTTGTAAGATGCCGGTACAGATTTGTCTATGTAACCGGCATCTTTTTAAAGCCGGAAAGAATATGACTTACACTTCCTTCATGCTCAGCTGTATCCGTTTACGGGGGATATCTACCTCAAGCACTTTTACCTCTACCTCCTGGTTGAGGCGTACGATCTCCGTGGGATCACTTATAAAACGGTCGGCCAATTGCGAAATATGCACGAGGCCGTCCTGTTTGGCACCCACGTCCACAAAAGCACCGAATTTGGTAATGTTGGTTACCAGTCCGGGCAAAATCATACCTTCCTTAAGGTCTTCCACCTTCCGGATGCCGGGGTCAAAGGAGAATACTTTGGCTTTACCGCGCGGATCGCGTCCTCCTTTGGACAGCTCTTCTATAATATCCTTTAAAGTAGGTAAACCGGTTTGATCGGTTACGTAGGTTTGTAAATCCACCTTCTTCAATGCTTCCTTAGCCCCAATAAGTAATTGTACCGGTCGGTTAAGATTCCTGGCCATATGTTTCACCACGGCATAACTTTCCGGATGTACCGCTGAATTGTCTAAGGGGTTAGTACCGTTCTGGATACGTAGAAAACCGGCTGCCTGTTCATACGCCTTGGGCCCAAGGCCTTTTACTTCCAAAAGTTGATTACGGTCTTTAAAAACTCCGTGTTCAGCACGATGTTCCACAAGGGTTTCCGCCAGCTTAGGACCCAGGCCCGATACATAATTGAGTAAGTGTTTGGATGCGGTATTCAGGTTTACACCTACCTGGTTTACCACGCTTTCCACCACGGTGTCCAGGCTCTTTTTAAGCTGGTTTTGGTCTACATCATGCTGATACTGGCCCACACCAATGGATTTGGGATCGATCTTTACCAACTCGGCCAATGGATCCATTAACCTGCGGCCAATGGATACCGCTCCGCGTACCGTAACATCGTAAGTGGGAAATTCTTCCCGCGCCACTTTGGAAGCCGAATAAACGGAGGCCCCGGCTTCATTTACCATAAATACATTTACACCTTTTTGGAGGCGCAGGCGCTTTTGAATAAAGTCCTCAGTTTCCCGCCCGGCTGTTCCGTTTCCAATGGCTATCGTTTCAATTTTATAAGCTTCTACCAGGTTGCTGATTTTGGCTGCAGCTTTTCCACCCTCGGATTGCGGGGGGTGGGGATAAATGTTTTCATTGTGTAGCAGCTTACCCTGTTCATCCAGGCACACTACTTTACAACCGCTTCTAAAACCGGGGTCTATGGCCAAGGTACGCCTGGGGCCAAGGGGAGGGGTAAGGAGCAATTGCCTGAGGTTCCAGGCAAATACGGCTATGGCTTCGGTATCGGCTTTTTCCTTACTGCTGTTCCTGAACTCTGTTTCTATGGAAGGGGCAAGTAAACGTTTATAGCTGTCTTTTACCGCCAGTTTTACCTGGGCAGATGATTCATTATGGGCTTTCACAAAAATGCGCTCCAGCTGATCCAGGGCTTTTTCTTCCGGTGGCACTATAGAAAGGCGCAGTATACCTTCACTTTCGGCCCGCCTGAGGGCCAGCATACGGTGGCTTGGAATACGCTTGAGGGGTTCTGAAAACCTGAAATAGTCGCTGTATTTAGCGCCCTCTTCCTCTTTACCTTTTACCAGTTTGGAGGTAACGGCTGCTTCATGGGCAAACAGCCTGCGGATGGTATTGCGGGCATAAGCACGTTCATTGATCCATTCGGCCATAATATCGCGGGCTCCGGCCAGGGCTTCTTCCGCATCCGCTATTTCTGCGGAGGTAAAGCGTTCGGCAAAGCTGTGTACATCTTTGATATCTTGTTTCATTAAGCTGCCGGCCAGTGGCTCCAAACCCTTTTCACGGGCTATGCTGGCGCGTGTTTTTCGTTTGGGTTTATAGGGCAGGTACAAATCTTCCAGCTCGGCAGAGGTCCATGTGTTGTTGATCTTTTCTTCCAGTTCCGTATTCAACTGGCCTTGCTCACGGATATTTTCCAAAATGGATAATCTGCGTTTGAGCAGTTCCTGCAGGCGCTGGTATTCTTCTTTAATTGCTCCGATCTGCACTTCATCCAGGCTGCCGGTCACCTCTTTGCGGTAGCGTGAAATAAAAGGTACGGTGGCACCTTCATCCAGCAGCGACAAAGTGTTTTGTACGGAGTGGGAAGGAAGGTTGAGTTGTTTGGAAAGTATAGAGATAAGTTGTGCGGACATAGACTATTTTATGGGGGATAAAGATACGGGTAGTTGTAAGTTCAGTCTTCGATAAAAATTTCCTGGTATTGTTTTCTGGAAATTCACTCTCACCGACATGAAAATCTTTTTTCGGACAGGAATGGGGTTTAATAGTATCATGCTCCATGCCTTTGACTCCTGTTAACTGCAAATACATTTTTGAGTAACGGAACATTCAGGCTCAGTAAATAAGAAGAGTTGTAAAGGGAGTTTGGATTAGCCGGGCTGGCCATTCTGATTTTTATTTTCCTCTTCTTCAGTGGTTTCCAGCAGGTATTCCACTTCTTTATCACCACCCAGTAAATTGGCCAGATCTACAATGGTTTGGTACAATAGCACGATGACGAAGATCATCATACCTCCCACCAGGGAAGAGGCACCCAGGGTAATGTAATAGGCAATCTGGTAATATTGATTACTCAATGAATCACTATTGGAAATGGGAAAATTAAGCAGCAGGAAAAGTAACATACCGGCTATGAAAGTCCAGGTGGTAAAAAAGGCCACCTGCTTGATACGGTTGTAAAAGCTGGAATCAAATTTCTTCTTGTGATTATTTACAAAACCGATCACTGTAAACAGCAGGGCCAGGATGGTAGCGGAACCCAGGATTACCGTATTGCAAAAGGTATTGATACGGGTGAGGCTGTCCTGCAGCATTGTTTTGGCTTCAAAACCGGAAACCATACCGGTTATATAAGTGGTGCCTAACCCGATTAATGCGGCTGCACAACCCCAAAGGAAAGGAAGCCGGCTTCTCTTGAAAATGTTTGACAGGTTTAACCCAAAGAGTTTCATATGTAGGCGCAACGTATAAGAGCCGGGCTATGTTTACAGGGATTAAACAGTTCTAAAAAGAGCGGTAATTTTACCTTACCTACTTCAGACTATCAATAAAGTAATCCGTAACCTTTTGCATGAGGTGAATACGGTCTTTACCACGCACATTGTGCTTGTGCATAGGGTAAACAAAATAATCCAGTTGTTTGCCTTTTTCAACCGCAGCTTTCAGATAAAGCTGGGTGTGTTGCCATACTACCACATCATCACTGGTGCCGTGTATTACCAATAACTTACCGTCCAGCTTATCCAGGTGGTTGATCAGGTTGTTCTCCCGGTAACCTTTGGGATTTTGGTCCGGAGTGTCCATATAACGCTCGGTATACATCACTTCATAATAACTCCAGTCAATAACCGGTCCACCCGCTACCCCGGCCTTAAAAATTCCCGGCTGACGGCTCATCATACTAATGGTCATAAAACCGCCAAAACTCCAGCCGTGAATGCCCATACGGCTGGTGTCCACGTAACTTTTGCTCTTCAGGAACTCTATCCCCTGCAGCTGATCTTCCATTTCAATTTTTCCGAGTTGCCGGAAGGTGTTCTGTTCCCAGGTCTGCCCCCGGTTGCCGGAACCCCTATTGTCTAATGTCCACACAATAAACCCTTGCTGAGCCATATATTGAAACCACAGGTTTCCGCCTCCGTTCCAGTAATTGCGGATCATTTGAGCGTGTGGCCCTCCGTAGAGGTACACCAGCACCGGGTAGGTATGGGTACTGTCAAAATCCACCGGCAGATACATACGGCAATGCAGGTCTCCACCGTCTTTATCGTTAATGGTTAACAGGCGCATTTCACCTGTTTTATATTCTTTCAGCGGGTTTTCTGACTCCAGGAGGGTGTAATTCACGGTTTTATTGACACCTGTAATCTGGCTTTTCCAGGGTGTGTTTACATTTGAAAAGTTATCTATAAAAAAGGTGCCGCGCTCATTTAAGCTTACCATATGGGTACCTGTCCCGTCTGTAAGTCTCAGCGGCTTCTTCCCGTTAAGAGGAACTTTATACAAGTCGCGGTTTAGAGGACTGGTTTGCGTGGATGTATAAAAGGCATGATCTCCCTGTTGATCAAAATCCATAAAAGCGGTTACTTCCCAATTGCCTTTAGTAAGTTGTTTCAGCAGTTTACCGTTTGTATTGTAAAGATATAAGTGATTAAAACCACTGCGGCTGCTTTCCCATATAAACTGATCCTTACGGCCTTTTACAAAGTGAACCGGATGTAAAGGTTCCACATAGGCCTGACTCTTTTCTTCAAAAAGGGTTTTTTCAAGTTTTCCGCTAACCGCATCGTAACGTTTCAGTTCCATATGGTTCTGATCGCGGTTTAAGTGGGCGATGTATACTTTCTTGCTTTCCGGCCCCCAGGCCATATTGGTCAGGTATTGCGTATCCGGCATACCCGTTTGCATTTTTACGGATTGGCCGCTACTTACATCGTACACATACAAGCTTATTTTTTCTGTTTTTTCAGTGCCGGCCATCGGGTACTTTATGTATTCCACGGTGGCGGGCTTTTCCGTCCAGTCGGTAAGCGGATATGTGCTTACCTCGGTTTCATCTTTTACATAATAGGCCAGTCTGCTTCCGTCAGGACTCCAGAAGGTGCCCTTACTGATTCCAAATTCACTGCGCGACACGGTTTGTCCGCTAACCATACCGGGATCACGGTGTTCACTTATGGTACTCACCTGATCATCCTTCAGCAGGAAAAGGTTGTTTTGCATCGTAAAAGCGATGTATCCGGTTTCGGGAGCTTCATCGCGCCTGGAAGCATCAGCCGGCAATTCAAGAGTATCCGTTTGGTTTAGCTTACCAGATGATACATCATAACGATAGACCTTTTGATCATCTTCAAACTCAAATTGAGAAGCCGATAACCACGTGAGAACCGGAAACCTGCGGCACTCGGCAGCACCTATAGATTTCAGCTTCTGGTTTAAGACCGAAAGCTGAAGTACATTTTCAGCGTTGGCAGGGGCATCTGCATCGCCCACCATAAGAACATCCTTTTTATTGGTTTGGATGTAGCTGAACTGCTCATTGGAAATCCATTGTAATTGCTGTAGCCTGTCCGGAGCCAGGGTAGAATATTGCCCCAAAACAGCTTCTTGCATAGTAAAGGTTTTTTCCTGGGCATGGGCTGCGGTGATAATGAGTGCAATAAGGCAGATGAGGTGCTTCATAAGGCTTTGATTATAGTAAGGGCACAAATGTAACTAACCTTATAAATTGCTATGGAATGGCCACTATTTGGTAGTGGGACCACCCATTTTTGTAAATACGTGATCCACGGGTTCCCAGAGTTCAATCTTATTACCTTCCGGATCCATAATATGTACAAACTTACCGTATTCAAATGCCTCAATATCATCAACTATGGTTACTCCGTTTTCGCGAAGTTTCTCCACAAGACCTTCAATATTCTGTACGCGATAGTTGATCATGAACTGTTTTTCAGAAGGGGCGAAGTACTTGGTGTCTTCCGCAAATGGAGACCACTGCAGGTAATTTATTTCTTCGGGGCGGTGCGCATTCCTGAACTCAAAAGAGGAACCATACTCATTAACGGCCAAACCCAGATTTTTCCCATACCATTCACGTGTTTCCTCAGGGTTTTTGGTGCGAAAGAAAACGCCTCCTATTCCGGTTACTTTAGGTGTATTGTCCATAACATTTAGTTTTAAAGGTTAAAGATACATTCTCAAAGCTTTAACATTGTATTCAATCCCTTCTGCTAACGGAAGTAACTTTAGTAATTTAGCCTGCCATAAGATTGATTAACCCTAAGTTATGAGTTACTCCAAACAACGTTCACGTGAATCCCGTGCAGCCATAGAAAGACTGTATATCACCATGCGGCACCTTTTTATACGTGGCAGTTATAAACCCCTGGGTGTAAGCGGTAAGTCGCTTATTGAAGCACTTCATATTTTAAAACCGGAGATATACGGAGATATAGATGATGCCGAGCGGGTGGATATGGAAGGACTCTTATATGTAGCCGAACGATTACCCAAAGGCATTGAAGAATGCCGGTTTATACAGCTGGTGGCCCGTGAAGGTTTTGAAGAAGCCGGCCACGCAGTAATTATGCCCATGAAGCGCAGGCGCAACTGCTTCCGTATTGATACTGACCGTATGTATGTGGAGATGAGCCGCGGGCGCAGCGATATCTACGATATTCTTACTCACCTTACTTACCTTTATATTGAAGCGGAAAAGATTCGTAACCATGCGCTCGATCTAAAAGGTAAACCAACGGACAACTGGCTTCGCCTTTCTGAAGTAGTGGAGTTTCAGGAAAATGAACAAAGCTTTGATGAAAAACGGGCTTTGGTATACCTGAGTAATGTATTAGGCCGTACCGTACAGGAAACGCACCGGGCGGTAGAAAAATTTGAACGCAGCCCCGGCTGTAACAGCCTTTATCATTTTGCCTATTGGCTGGGTAAAGTGTCTATTGATGAGTTTACCCATGACAACCGCAGGGAAGTAATGGTATCGGCCAAGCTGAAAGATGTGGTGGGACACCATGTGTACGGTGAAAAATGGGCCCATACCATTAAAGACGTAATGGCTGAAAAAGACTGGCTGGAACGTCCGGTGCACATTATCAGCGCCAACCTGCACAGTTTCCTGAATACACTGTATGGCTTTCAGGCCTTACCAGATCAGAAGTTTACCGACCTGGAAGCTTTGGCGATATACACCAGTAGCCGCGAAGCTGCTGATAGTAACCGCGCTATCCGGGAGTATGCGTTGGAAAACGGTTTAACGGTGATTCGCGATCGTTCCGGAACGAATCTTACTGTCCAGCTGATCGATCTCGAAAAAATAAACCTTGGGGCTTTGCCTTTTGGTCTTAAGAATCCGGAAGGGGAGAAGCCTTTGTTATTAGTAATGGATTATGCCTTTGGTGAGCAAGCTTTTGAGTGTATGGACGAATTGCTGAAACCCTTTGAAAGTGAAAACCTTTCTCAGAGTTTGAATGTAAAATCGGTTTCCGTAATGGGTAAGGCCGGTATACTGGAAGGTAATAAAGGTGATTTGATGATTCCTACAGCCCATGTTTTTGAAGGTACTGCGGATAATTATCCTTTTGAGAATGACCTGACGGTATCTGATTTTAAAGAT